TCCTGTGTGAAAGTCCTCTGCATCCAGCAGAGCTGGGTGTCTGGGGCAGCAGCTGAGCTTTTCTTTTCTGACACCATCTCTCACACCTCTCTTCTCTGTCACACCTGGGGATATACAAATTCCTGTGATCAGCTCTCACCTCAACTGTTCTCATCCCTCTCTACCTCCTACAGCTGCAACAGCTCATGAGGAACTGCAAGATCCTTCCTCACTGCTTTAAACCCTTCTCAAATTCTCCTCTTCTGCTTGGCTCTGGTTTTACTGGAGGAATCATGGAAACCTGATGCTCTTGGTGAGGTGGGGCAGCTCCATCACCCCTGCAGGCTCAGCCCTTTGAACCCCCACCTTAACCTGCTCTGGTCCCACAGCTCTGACCTCACTCTGTGCCAAGGACCACCACAACACCTTGACAAAACTGAGGAGTCCTCACAAATAATAAATTTAGAACTTCAAACTTCCTGTCCTCTTCTCCACACAGACCTCCTAGATCTCAGCATGTACTGACAGCACACGAGAGCTTTGAAACATCCACAAATGGCAAAAATAACAGGAATAATCTGCCAGCTGGAAGCTGTAGCCCATTGTTTTCCCATCAGAGCTGCCTGGAACAACCCACTTGAGAAACACTTAAGGAACACGTGTTCAAACATTCACTGCAGAGCTGCAAGCAGTGACGAGACTCGTCCATCAGGCGACAGTGACACTTCTGCTCTGGTGGGAAAGTTGTCTTGTAACTCCCTGCAGCAGCTTCATTAACCTACAATCAAGATTTTCCTTTAAATTTAAGCCAAGAGGAGTTGAAGGAACCACAGACCTGCCCAGGACATAACTCATGGCCCCCACTGATAAGGTGATAAGGGGAGGGCATGTGGGAAGCAGGCAGAGCAGGGTTGGCACATCCCAGGTACTGATCACACCTGGCATGGGTGTGGTGCAGCTCTGGCTAATCCATCCCCAGGAATTCCTCCAAGGACACATCCAGGAGCAGTTTCAGTGGAAAGTTGCTTGAAAAGAAACCTTGACCAAGAGTTGAGTGTGTTCCAAGAGTGCCCAGGTAGGACTGAAGGTGCCACAGACACAGGTACCTGGTGCTTCTACAGGAGGATGAACCTGAGCCCCACACCATGGAGGCTGATGGTCCTGAGTCTTCTGAGACAGGAAAAATACCTGGAAATACAGCATTTCCCTCTGAGGGGGAAAACTTTGAGAGTCACACAATTTCATTAATTGATATACAACTTCATCCTAAAAGAACAGCTGTTGGAAAATGATCCCTGATCTCAGCCATGCCTGCCTTGGACGAGTGATGAGAGGGAAAATCACCAGGGAGTGTGGAGGGGAGTGTCAGCCAGCTGAACTGCTGAGCTCTCAAACACAGGCACAGGAAGTGCTATTGTGATTTTTAGATCTGCTTCGTTTTCCTACCCACTGAAATTAAATTTTCTCCTGCCCAAGCCCAGTGACCACACGATGTGCCTAGCAGCCTTCCTAGAACCACTGGCATCATTGGATTAATGAGTCCTGTACAGGCAGTGAACAAGGATGATTCATTATTGGCAACAATGCAGCTCTACATGGATTGTTTTGGGGTGAAAAGAAATAAATAAGGTCCCTAACTGAAAGGCGGGTGATGAAGTGTAGCCTGGCTTTAATCCCAGTGTAACCGCTGCCATCACTCCTAATTATTGATAAATATTTTTCTAATTGTGGAAATTTAACAATTAGACATCCTTCCTTCCCTCCTGGAAATCTAATCAGTCTAAAGTTCAGGATGCAGTCTGGGGCCACTGCTGCAGAACATGCTTCACTTGTGGGCTGAGGAAAACAGAACTTCTCCCAAAACCTCCCAAAGGCCCCCAAAGCCCCCCTGCCACCAGCCATGCTGCTGGGAGCACGGACACACGGGCAGGGAGTCCCCTGGCATTGGATATCCTGGGGGTTTCCCAGGAGCACTCCTCCATCCCTGTGCTCCCAAAGGATTCCAGGGCCAAGTAGGCAAAGAGTCATCCCTGCAAAAGAGGATTCAGGACGTAGATCTTGCCCCAGTGACATATTTTCCTCCATCCTGGAGAGGAGAACAGGCTGGTTAATGACCAGGCAGGCAGAGTTCCTTGGAAGTTAATAACAAAGATTTACCGGCGTGCTGGAACGCACCGAAGGAGGTCACGCTGTTAATTCTCCTGCTGCTGATCCCTGTGGATAAATCTACATCAGGAAACGAATTACCCAGGGAAGGGTATTAAAAGGGATGATTCTAATTCCTTGCTGAAGGAGAAGTGTTGCCTTTAACACTGAGCCCTTCGTACCCACTGCGCCAAGTGCCAGCTCCCTCTCCCAGCAGGATCTGGCCCACAGCACTGCACAACTGGAAAGAATGGGATGAGAAAAATCCCTCCTTGAGGTTTAAGCCACCTGGCAGACTGTGTCCCCCTGCTCCCGAGAGCCCAAGTTGGCCAGAGCACCCCCAGGAAATAGCCCTATAAACCCATTTTTCCATTCTTCCCCGTTCCCTGTCACACACTGATCTGACAGTACTGATAGCCTAAGTCCAGAACAATTCCATCCATCCCAGACCAAGTTACCTTCCCAAATCTTATTGCAAATTTTTGTTAGACTTCTCATGTATTTTATCCCCCTGTACACCCACACAGGCCAGTGGCTGTTCCACATCCAGACAAATCCCTGGAATCACTTCCTTTCCCGTGTTCTCATCAGTGTGGGTTGTAATGAGCCTGATGGTTTCCATCCAAGTAATACCAAGACAGGATCCAGAGCAGGGCTGACCCCGGGGGACTCAGCATTATCCAGCCCCGTGAGAGGGACACCGGCAGGATTCCAGGGAGCCACGGCCCCACGGACAGGGTGGCAGCTGGGGCCACGTGTCCTGCGTGTCCCCCAGCCCTCCCCAGCTGCTCCGGGAGCCGCGGGAGGAGGATCCCCAGGGAGTGACCGGAGTGGGGGACGGCAGCCATCTGCTCCAGAGCCCGGGGTCTGCGTCTGGAGACAGCCGAGTGACAAACAAGGTTAATGTCCCACGAGCGGGAACTGTCACTCTGCGTTAGGGCCCGGGTTTCACCTTCCATGGCACAAGACTCCAGCGCGGATCGCGCGGGGAGAGGCGCCGGCAAACCAGGACGGGGCTGTGACCGGAGAGGCCTCTTGTGGGGACTGGTGGGACCGTGGTGTTGGAAGGGTTTGTCCTTCCCGGCCGTCACGATCCTGCCTGTGTGCCACGCGATGCCGGAGGCTGCTCCGGTGGGGACGGGAGGACAGGGAGCGGAGCAGAGCCCTGGGAAACCATTCCACGGGGTCCTGGGTGTCGCGGGGACCGGCACCGTGCCAGCGACCTGAGCCGGGCCGCGGGTGTTCATTATTGAAGGCTGGGGCAGGGTTACCGGAGGGACAGGTGTCCTGTTTCTGCAAGCGCCTGCTCACAAAGACATCGGCTATCGCGGGCACCTCCGTCCTTCCTTTGCAGCCACGACGTCACCAAGGTCCGGTGATCCACAGACACGCACACACACACCAGCACACGCCGGCCACCGGCTCCGAAGTAATAGCCAACTTTATTGTCGTATAAAGTAAGAACTAAAATGTCCCTTAACCCAAACACGGATGGGTCGAGTGGTTCCAGCATCCCTCATGCTGCGGTGGCCTGGGGGGAGCAGCCTGGGGGGGTTCAGTCGGGTCCCCCCAGCCCCTTTTCTCCTCAGCCGGTTCTGGAGGGGGAAGGAGCTGCCTTGGGGCTGCGGGGACGCCTGGATGGGAGCTGGGGCTGAGGTGCTTGTGCGTTGCAGAGCTCCAGCTCTGTGCTGGGATCAGGCACTTGTGGAAGGGCGCGGGCCCTGCTCCTGGCCGGCTCAGTCCCACGGCTCCCACCGGCACAGGGGCACGAGGGCACTGGCAGCAGCCGGGGCCAGAGCCCTGCCTGCACTGAAACGTGCTGCCCACACCAGGGGCTGAGGCTGGGCCTGGCAACAAGGCAGGTCTGGCCCGGTACAGAGGAGGTTCCAGCCTCTTTGGTTGGTGCTCTTGTTGAGTTAAGGCAATATAGCATTGGTTGGTTTAAAAAAAAGGCCAAAACCAGCAAAACCAGATGTCCCAGAGGCCCGACAGGCAGGTGGAAGAGTCTGGGGCTGCTCTGGCTTTGCTCTGAGTTGCCACTTGGACCCTGCATGCCCAAAAGTGGGCACTGAGCCCTGCCTGTGCCAGCTCTGTGCTCAGCATCACCTCCACCACCACCACCAGGAACCTGCAGCCCAATACCGGAAGAGTCAAGAAGGGACTTTGGGATATTTTAGGGGAGATTCAGGCTCCTGACAGCAGTGCGGGAGTGGGGAGAGGACGGAGGAGCTGTGGCAGCTCCCTCCATCCTGTTTCCCATCACAGTGACCGGTCAGCAGCTTGTGAGGTGGGAGCTCCGCTCTGGCAGTGACATGAGCAGATGGTCAAGGGTGCTGCAAACACCCTCCCACGTGGTCCCCAATAGCACTGAGGGGAAACCTGCTCCCCCAACATCCCAGCAGGGCTGGACCCACTGCCAGGACCCCAGCAGCTGCCTCTCCATCAGCACCCACATCCTTTGGCAGCCCCAAAGGGCTCTGCCCCAGGGGGTTCATTCCATGTTTAGTTCTCTTTCCCCATACTCTGAGGAGAAAGGCCCTGGGTTTGCCCATCAGTGACCCTATGTCTGAGTGGGGACCCACATACCCCTTGCCCCACCTGGCCTGAGAGTGCTGGGAAAGGGGCAGGGAAATGAAATGAAAGATGAGGTGGCACCAACCAGTGTGTCCCCACCCCCTGCCCCACCTCTTGGTCACGCTGGCTGCGGTCAAAGCCTGTGACCCTCCAGGGCCAGTGGCCTGGCAGGGCACTGGCCGTGCACCTGTACTGCTCCTCCCCACTGCCCTCCCAGCAGGGACCCAGGCCCTGGCTGCCCTGGGCTGCTGGACCATCCCTTGGGCAACCAAGGGGGAGCCAAGGAGAGATGAAAACACCGATTCCATTAATGCCCCAGGGGATTTCTGCAAAGGAAATAGAAAAAGTTTTAGATGAAGTCCAAATGTCCAGATCAGTCAGAGCAATGGCCGCACGCCAGGGGGATGCTCCGGGTTGCTCCAGTCCTTCGTAACTTGGGAGAATGCTGCGGATCCTCCATGCTCATGGCTGATATCCATCCCTGACCTCAGCCACCAGAGCCAGGGACTCATCAGCTGTGGCTGCTGCTGCCAGGAGGAGAACGGAACAAATCCATGAGTATCTCTGTGCGATGCCAGTGGCTGGTGACAGCTCCTGCAGCCGTGGCGAGCCCCTGGAGTGGCCGGTCCTCATCTCCACACATCCCTATGTCCTGCAGGTTGCTGGTGCTCACACCACGGTGCTGATGGTGGATGACTCCTCCGATCGCCGCTGCTTGCTGGGCAGTGACTTGAGATACTCCAGGTGCCGCCGGGCGTCCTCCTGGTTCTGCCTCACGTAGTAGACCAGGTAGGAAATCACCATGGCGAACCAGCCAAACATGGTGACCAGCATGGCGATGTCCGTGGTCTTCTTGTACACGTTGCAGAAGTCCGTGTCGGCAATGACCTGCAGGAAAGCTTTTCCCACGTGCTCCTCCTGCGTGGAGGAGTCACACACGATGCCCCCTGAGGAGTCGGCCGCCAGCTCCACTGCACGGATCAGCTCCTGCAGCCGACAGTCACACAGCCATGGGTTGCTGGACAGGTTCACCTTGGCTTTCAGGTTGCCAAAGGCGTCTTTGCTGACTGACACCAGCCTGTTGGAAGACAAGTCCAGAGAGTGCAAGTGCTCTGCTAGGCCCTGAAAAGCCCCACTTTCGATTCTGGTGATGGCATTGTGGGACAGATCCAACTCCAGCAGGAGTGGCAGGTCCCGGAAGGCATCGCGAGGCAGGAAGGAGATTTGGTTGAAGTCCAGGTAGAGCTTGTTGGTGTCATTGGGGATGTCTCTGGGGACCTCAGTCAGCTGAGCATTGCTGCAGCGAAAGGTCTTCAGCCCCTCCTCTTCTGAGGGGTAACAGCCCTTGGGGAAGGCAGCAGCTGGATGGAGGCAGGAGCCCAGGAGGAGGAAGAGGCTCTGCAGGAACAGTCCCATGGTGATGGGGTGGAGGAGAAGCCCCCGAGCTGCAGTCATGGTGCTGCACTGCCTTCCTCACAGCCACAGTGGCTTTAGCTGGACTTGGCACATCTGAGACAGGGACAACAAGGGGACAGTGTCAGGCTAGGGGAGACAGGGGCAGAACTGTCACTGCACTGGCTGTGAGCACCACATCTCACCCTAGCCATGAAGCAGGGACAAGGACGGGGACCGGGACAGCCGTCATGGCTCACGCTTTCCCCCATGCCCGCCCATCATCTCGCTCTAGGCTCCTGCGTGGCAGGATCAGGCCCCAGGGGCTGGGCACGTCTCCTGCTCCGGCAGCTGGGTTATAACAACCGGAGACGCTCGGGCTGAGGCAGAGGCGGGGTGAGCTCCCGCCCTGCCAAGGTCACGGCGCCGCGATCGCTGCTCGCAGGAGGCCGACGCATCCTGCGGCGGCCGGAGGACGAACCAGCGCGAGCCCCGGCTCCGGGCGAGCAGCCGCTGCAGGCAGCCCCCGGGGAATGCCACGGAAAACATGTGCAGGCAGCGGCTCAGAAGGTTCCTGCTCCCGGCTCCACTCTCCGGGAGCGCTCGGGGCACACGCGGACACGGGGCGGGTTTTCTCCTTCCGAGGGGACCGGCACAGGTGGGTGCTGGGTGCTGCTGTGCTCTGCCCACTGCCACCCCACCGTGGGGTCGGGCTGCTCACACCACCCGGTAACCATGGGCCTCATCCAGCCCTTGATTCCGGAGGGGAAAAGCGTCAGCAGGAAAGAAACAAAAACAGAAAAAGGAAATTCACTGGAGCTGAGCGTGCAACCAGTTCCCAGGGTGGTGGCAGCAGATAAGGGCAGTTTCTGAGCGCTCCGAGCGCTGCCCGGCTCTCCCAGCCCTGGGTCCCACCACGTCCAGGGGTCCCAGCTTGCCTCTGAGCCGGCCGTGGCAGCGGAGCTCTGGAGGTAGGATGGAGGTGTTCTCCCTCCACCTCACAGTCAAAGCCATTGGCGCTAACACGCGCCTGTGTCAGCCGGTCAGGCAGAGCTCAGTGATGCGGGAGCCCCGAGCTACGCCACCAGCAAAGCTGCCTGCTGATCCCACTGCTCTCCTGAGCACCCCAGCACCGGCAAACCCGCTTTGGGATGCTAATCGGGGGTCCTCGGTGTGGTGTAGAGGTGGCCACCCAAGGGTGGTCCCCACAGCACAGGCAGGTGAGCACAGGTTGGGTACTGTCACACAGACCTGCCACGCCGGCACACCCCAAGGTCACACCTGTGCAGAGCTGACCCCTGCACTGCCGGAGCCCCGGCATCCAGGAGGGTCCTGAGAGGGAACCAGAGCTCAGAGTACACAAAGGGCACACGGACTCCAGAGCCCCACATTGCACCAGCCCCTCAAGCCTTCCAGAGGTAACCTGGGACAAACACAGCCCCTCGGTACCCTCTTCCAGATGCCCACCGGGGAAACCACCGGGATGAGCCGGGACCCGGTGTCCCGGGAGGGGGCTGCTTCGTCCACGGAATCGGGACACCTCTGCAGGTGGGATGCGGACCAGGCACGGCAGAGACGACAGACAGGCAGTCTTTGCCCCACCGCGGGTTTCCCAGCCCGCAGCCGGGCGCGGGGATTCCCAGCCCGACCCCGGGGGTGGCCGCCAGCCTCAGGTAATGCGGTTGAGGAGCCGGGCCAGTGCGGATGCCAGGATTCTCCGTGAGCCCGGGGATGCCGGGGAATCCCCCCGGCCCCGCTCGACACCGGGGGCGTCGCAGGCGAGGGAAGCCCCGGTGCTTCCCCGGGGGAAGCTCCGCTCAGCGCGGCGCTGCCGGCCCTCCCCTCCCCGCCTCCAGCCCCGCCGGAGGTCCCGTTGCGGACTCACCTGCCCGTGCAGTCCCCGGCGGCGGAGCGGCCCCGCGCCCCGGGCCGGAGCGGCCGCGCCCCGCGCAGCGCGGCGGCCCCGGAGCCGGCGGCGGCGGCGGGGCCGGTGGGCGGGATCCTCCGCCCGGGCCTCCCCGGGGCTCCCCGCCCCCGGCCCGCCCCGCCTGGGGGGGCCGTGCAGCGCCGAGCACCCTCGGCCCCGCTCTCGAAGCATTCCCAGCTCCTCGCCCCACGGGGGAAGCGCTGCCCCGGGTGCTCAGACCGGGAAGGGCGGGAAGACACCGGAGAGACCCAGTGAGGAGCTGCCGAGACCCCCGAGCCAAGGGCAGCTGCTGCGGGGGCGTCCCGGGACATTCCATTGCTTCCACCCCGCCGCGTCCCCGCCGAGCTCCAGTGGGAGCCCTCTCGGCTCCGCCCGGCTTCCCGGACCCTCGGCGCCCCCCGGCGCTGCCCCCACAACCCCCCAGGAATCCACTCATCCCCCTCCCCAGATCTTCGGGGCGACCAGGACCCCAGTTCTCCCACTCCGGCGGGGTCACGGTGCCCCCCCGCCCTGCACCGGGATCGCTTACTCGGGGAAACCCGACCCGCAGCGGTGGCACCGGGCGGGGCGGGATCCAGGGGAACCGGAGTGGGTCCCCAGCTCGGCCCCCAGCTTTCTGGGGCGGTGGCCGCCGGGCTGGGCCGTATCTCGGGGTCCCGCCGCACCGGGGCACCGGCGAGGCTGGCTCAGGACCATGGAGAGCGGCCGCCGTTACCGGGCCGGGGCCGCCCGTAGGGACGCGGTTCCCGCTGCCCCCGTCCCGGATCTCCGCGGCGGGACAGCCCGGCCCCGGGCACTGACGTTCTCCTGCTGCTGCGGGAGGATAAACTGTTTAGGAGGCGTCTGTTCTGAATGTCGCCTCAATTAGGAAAAGGGAACCTGACGACAGCCAGACACGCCAGCGGACAGATCCTCCCCAGAGACCCCCGCACTCTCCGGAGCCCCCTGCGCTCCGCCGGGAGCAGGCCACTGCTGGGTCTGGCACCCTGGAAGTGTTCAATAAACGTGTGGATGTGGTACTTGGGGACATAATTTGGTGGTGAAGGTGACAGGGCTTGGTTATTGGTTGGAGTCGATGATCTTAGAGGTTTTTGATGTTTCCATGCCCGTAGGCAAGCCCGACGCTGGACCGGTGCTGGGCTCACTGGGCAGGGCTGTCCCGGGACACTGCCAGGATCCCGGCAGGCAGCAGCTGGCAGCCACAGTTGGTTCTCTTGAGCACTTCTCTGGAATCTCCCCGTTTGGGAGCAGCCCCGTGCTGCCCATCACCATTTCCCGAGCCGCCAGGAGCTCTGCACGAAGCGGGAGCAGGGATGGGCATGTTGGGACGTGGCGGCTCCGGTGACACAGCCACCTGCCACGGGACGATGGTGGACACCGAAGGGCCAAGGTGACAGGCAGGTGAATGGGGACACTGAGCTGGGACCCGAAGAGGCGGTGGGTGATCCCGGCAGCGGGCACAAACCCGGGAGCGGGAGCAGCCCCAGGGCTGCACCCCATGGGAGTCCCACGTGGAGGACACGGAACCCACCAGCACAAAACCTGCAGTGCAGCACGACCCACAGGGACCCTTCCCATTGCAGGATGGCTAAAAATAGCTGGCACCGGCTTCTCGCTGCCACCACGGAGCTAAATATAACCGGCATCGACAGGGCAGGGGGACCGGCAGCCGGCAGAGCGGGAGCTGAGCACGGCCCGGCACCGGCTGGGGCTGGGAGCGAGCGAGGCCTAGGAATCCACACTGGAACGGCCCCCCTGAGCACGGGGGGAACGCGGGTGCGACTGCTGGTGAGCGGATGGGGCCGGATCCCCCCAGGGAACTCCCCGCCCCCGGTGCCGGTGTTCCCTGGGCGGGTGAACGCGGTGTGGGGAGCCCAGAGAGCGGGTCGGGTCCCCCCCGCGCTCCACCGGCAGCGGCGGCTGCTGCATCACGGAGAGCGATGAATATTGATGGGCGTTTAAAAATAGCTGCTGCATTGTGCTTCCCCCTCACGTGCGGAGCCAGCGGGGTGCGGGGAAGCTGCTAAATTAGATGTCACCGCGCAGAGAGCTGCTCAGTCAGGCAGGAGCAGGATAAAAATAGAGCCTGCTGTGCGTGCGTGGATCTCCTGCAAAGCAGGACCGGATCCCGTGGGATCCCCCGCCTCCGCACGCCGGCATCCCCGCACCGCGCCCTGCCAAGAGAGCACCGCAGAGGAGCCGGGCAGGGACAACGCGGTTCTACAGGGTGGCAATCAGTGGCCTTTCATCTGCTTTAGCCCACATGTGAGTCTCTCCGTGCCCAAAGCCCTCTGGAGGCAGACATTGCTGAGCTCTGGCTCCGGCAAATGACTCCGTGCCCTGCCAGCAACATGGTGCCAGCGTGTGAGACTCAGGCAGCCCCGGCCCTGGCGGCCCGTGGGGTCTGCATCTTCTCGCCGTGCCCTGTAAGGATCTGCGGCTGGAGCCGAGGCCGGATGGATGCAGACAGGGTCAGGACAGCTCAGCGTGGAGGCACAGGGGGACTCAGGGAACCTCGATGTCGCTGTGACTCCACCTGGGCCAACATCAAAACCCACCGTGGGCTGTGCCGAGCGAAGTGTCTGTGCCAGCTCGGGGGGCTGCGAGCGGCACCGGCAGAGCCACACGTGCCCCGCGGGCAGGCGGGAGCGCCGCGCTCGGGCTCCGCACACTGCCAGGGGCTCTGCTCGGCTCCGGGCAGGGGGTTTGCAGCCCAAAGCGGCTCCGGCGCTGCCCCTCGGCTGCCGGAAGAGCCGGCAGCAGGCACACATGGAGCCCTGCACAGATGGCTGCGGCACCCGTGGGCCGTGCCAGCCCCACGCGTCGAGCTTTGATGGTTGTGCAAACAAAAGCGGAGCCAGATGGTCTCCCCCCGCGCTCCAGCGCTGGAATCCTGCGCTCGCTCCCAGCGCCGACCTTGGCCCGGTATCCTGCAGCGCTGCCGGCCTGCCCGGGCTGTCTGCACGATGCTGCTGCTGGGATTTTCACGGCGTCACGGAATCGGAGTGGTTTGGGTGGGAAGAGATTTTAAAAACCACCCAGTCGTACCCCCTGCCACGGGCAGGGACACATTGCAGTATCCCAGCCCCGTTCAACCCGGCCTCGAACACTACCAAGGATAGGGCAGCCACAGCTCCTTCGGGAA